GTTTCAAACCATGAGCTGTGTGAGGCGTTGAGATAGAATTTCAACGACAGGGAAAGGAACTTGGAGCGTCTCTGTAATAACCCAGTTCAACTTAGTGCTTACCCTCTGAGAGAAGCGATGCCGGTCGGAGAAAAAGAGAACCGACCACCTGCGTGTGCGTCCAGATTCTTCTCTGCACTGCCCTCCCCTTTGCAGGAACAGGGCCACAGAGGCAGGCCACCTGGGGGAGGGCGGCGAAAGGAACATAGTCAGGGGTCACCCCGTCAGGTAATCCCAAGAAAGAAAGAGGCATTGAAAGCTTCTCACTTTTTGTAGGACTTTTGAAAACACCTACGTGAATTCCTGAGCTACATTCTTGGACAGGTTTTCAGCATTATGTTCCCACGACAGTGTCCACTTACTGGATGAAGATGTGCGGGGAGGCCCATTTCCCAAAGAACTGTATGCACACGGAGATGGCAGCCCCTCGGGGTCCTTCCGCTGTCCAGCAATTCCCCCACCTCCATCAGAGCTCCCCCCTTTCCTGGCAGGAGTTCTCACATGTACGAAGCCCCATCCCGGCAGCACAGAGTGGAACTGCTACTCAGAGGTTGTCTTGGTTTCTTTTCGGTGGTGGCTCATGTACTAATGCTTCTTGCTCTTCCCTTTGCAGACGGCTTTGCCACTTCGGTGGCCCCCTCTTTCTGGACGGCAGGGGCCCCTTTGTGGGGTGGGATTTGTCATGCATGGGCCCTGCCCACGCCGTGAAAGCAGCTCACTGGGCTCTCCCTTCCCAAGAGCAGTTTCCCCCAGGGGTTTCTCTGCCTGTGTGGGTCTGGGGAGGGGAGGGCCGAGGTAGGGGAAGTCACACAATAGTTAACCCTTCCAGTGCGTCTGCATGTATGCAGGTTTTCTCCAGATCTGACTTCGGGTCTTCAACTCTCTTTTAGGTACTTCTAAGTCCATCCACGAATGCAAACATTAATCGAACTGATTTGTGTGTCTGTTGGGCATCGAGCCAAGCTCTGGGCACATACTGGTGAATGACACAGAAATGGTGTCTGTCCTTGAGGGACTTACCAACAGGGAGACTGAAATGAAAGAAATATTGTGAACCATCAATGACAGGAAGGGCTATCAAGGACAAACACAGAGGGGAGCATCGCAGGTGGACCCGATGTCACGTGGGGCTGGGCAAGTCTGGGCGGAGACAGTGGAGGAGAGTGGGCCTGGCCAAAGCATGGGGGTGGGGGTGAGGAGGCAGTTTGAAGACCGGAACACAGCTGGCGTGATTAACACCGCACAAGCTGACCCTCCGGGAGCTCGGTTCACCTTTCCCACTACTGTAGCTATGTCAGGAGGAGGAATGGGGCGGATCTAGTGCTGGAGGTGTACGCGAATTGGGTTGCTAGCATTTGGAGGGACCGTGAACAAGCTGCTTAGCCTCTCTAAGCCTCCGTCTGTTAAATGAGAATGCCATGAATAGTACCATCATCATGAATATTTAAGATTAAATGCAATGGTGCACGTAAAGCACTTGGTGCTTGTCACATAGTCACATCGTGGTTAACCACGATGACCCCCAAGAGGACAAGTGCCTCATCTCATTTTTTTTAAAGATTTTATTTATTTATTATTTTTTTAACAACTAGGGAGCTGTGTCAACAGTGTTGCTAATTTTTTCATATTCACTTTTAATCTTTTTTTTAAAGCTACTGCTTTTTTTTTAAAGATTTTATTTATTTATCTTTAGAGGGGAAGGGAAGGAGAGAGGGAGAGAAACATCAGTGTATGGTTGCCTTTCATGCGTCCCCTGCTGGGAACTGGCCTGCAGGGAACTGGCCTGCTACCCAGGCATGTGCCCTGACTGGGAATTGAACCTCGATTGTCTGGTTCGCAGGCCCGCGCTCAACCCACTGAGCTACACCAGCCAGGGCCAATTTATTTTTAGAGAGAGTGAAAGTGGGGAAAAAGACTGGGAGAAAAACATCAATGAGAGAGAGAAACATTGATCAGTTGCCTCTCGTGTATGGTCGATGGAACTCGCAACCCAGGGATGTACCCTAAGCAGGAACTGAAGCTGCAAACTTTTGCTTTGTGGGACTACGCCCAACAGAATGAGCCATGCTGGCCAGGGGTGATCTTATCTTTAAATTCATGGTATGTTTCAGTGCCTGGTACACATGTGTTAAGACAGGTTATTGCATGAACGACAACATAAAACTCTGTTATAAACTTTAAAGTTGACCTTTTTAAAATAAAGGGCTACTTTACCAGTAACTTATTTGGAGACAAGCATTTTAGGAGAGTGCACTGTGTCATCTCCACTGGGAAGTCCTAAGTAAGAGTGGAGTGTGAGAAAAAGAAGTCAACTCCATTGCTTTTGGCATCTAAGACCTAGAAGGGCGGGGCCATGTGGTTCAGCCAGTCTCACGATGCCTGTGCGCAGTGAGTGGCGTGCCCAAGGCCAAAGCCCAGGCCAGAGCTCTCTACCCCTTCACTGTGGCACCCTTCCCTTCTTCCTTGGCATTATAAGGCTGTCCGGGGGCTCAGGACCGATCACTGTTTTCTTAAAGGTATTGGGCAACTCAGAAGAGTCGATGGGAGAACCTGTCAAAATGCAAGACTCAACTATGGGCCGAGGAGATTGTGTGTAGACCTTCCCTTACGCATCTGTGCCATTTGTCATCATGGCTCTGGCACTGGAATGGTGACCCAGGTAAAGAGTCCCCTTCATTGGTGATTATAGGTCTAACAGGGTGTAATTTAGCTTTTCTGGAGTTAAGGTTTGAGGTTTTTTCCCGGTTCGCAGGCCTTTCTTCTATTTCACTGGTCTAAGGCATGAAGATCTTGTTTCTAAGTAACTCTACTTGTTGTGTGAGAAGTAATTTTTTTTGGTTTAGTGAATTTGGGTACACAATGTACCAATTAAGTTGGTTAAGCAGTTTTAATTACTTTTAAGTCTCAAATGAGCGGTGAAATATAGATACCAACTAAGCATGCTTAAAACCTCAATTCCTTTTTCACTTTCCTTTGAAATAACAAAGGCTGCCGTTCACGGCTCCAGTGTGGCCAGTTCCACCGATGGCCTCTCTCTTCTGCAGTCTAAACAGGGACCATGGGAAAACAGTGTATGGCCGTCCCCTCTCTGTCCTGGCAGTAAACTTCCACGCATTGTGTCACCAGCCAAAGCACACTGTAAAAACAGCATGCAAAAGAAAATAGCACAGATAGTGATAAGGGAAAGACCAGCAGGACAATTCCTTCTTCTTCCCCTTCCTCCCTTGTGCAGCCGGGATTAGTTTCTGTTCATTTCCAAAGACTTCATTTAGAGCAAAATACATTAATCAACTTTTTCTGAGGGAGGAGATTACAGGCAAGGACATGGGAGAAGAGTGGGGAACCCCAGATGTGCAAACTCTGAAACTCACAGCTGTGCCTCCACATCTTGCTAGAACTGTGTTTCCGAGAAGGGAAGTTTCTGTCGTTCACATGAAAATCTTGCATCATGCAAACCTCTACGATTCGGTCTTTATTTTTAAAGTTAGAACCTGTTTAGGATTGTTGAATCTCATATCTAATAATTACAAGACTTAGCAGAAATTCTTTTAAATTCTGACAGGTTAATTAATGGAGTTCTAAGGGAGGTAGAGAGAAAGAAAAAGGAAATCAGGTTGAGCAACAACTAAACATATTTATATGAATTTCTGACTTTCGACTCAACTTACATGAGAAAAAATTATGTGGCATTTAATACATAATTCAGTATTAATACTAGATGTTTAAAAGACATTAATCTAGACAAAAAAAAATTGGCCCCTGGGAAAGTCAGAGTTTTGCTCAAAATGTAATACTAACAAAAAATTACAAGGTTGGTGGCATTTCCAGGATCCAATCATAAGGCTCTTTAACCTGACGGCTGCCAAAGTGGTGGCAGAAATAATGTCAGAAATGCACGAACAAGACCCATTCCTTTACAACTGAGAGATTCTAAAGCTCATTTTATTTTTACTTTACTATTCAAGCATTTGGTAAATATCTAGAAAGGAAAAAAATCCCCCTTTTTTTCATAGATTTTAACTACAGAAATTACTTCTGGTTTTTTACTTGCATATATCCATGTATTTGGCTGTATGTAACATAAGCAAATTTGAAGGCCACTGTGCAACCAACCAAAATTGGTGTCGTAAAAAGAGTTAAAGGAGGGAGGCCGTTTCTCATCAAGGCGCATCCAGTCAAGGCGGGACTCATCCAATGACCCGTCAGAAAGGGGCCCCGTGGTAAACAGGCATCACACCCACCTGCAGGCTGGACCGTCGCACTGCTACCGCCAATGGGGCTCTGATGCCCGACCTCCCCACGGCTTTCATTTTGGCCAAGGTCAGTCAAGGACATCTGCGGTGGCTGGCTGTGGTAACATGTGAGATCTAATTTCTCACTTGCCACAATAGGCACCACCAGACTTTTTATCCGACAACCTGATGCTTTTAAGCTGAACACAGTAGCTCAATTTCCTTTTGAAACTGGCTGCTAGGAAGTTACAGCCAGATTTGTAAAGCCTACTTCCAACACGCGTTAAGTTCACCCCTGCTTTAATACTGTTTTCTTTTTGCTTTCTCCTTTACTTTGGTCATATGGCTTTTTCTACATAAATTTTAGCCTTGTATGTGGCTCTGTAAGCCCTCTTAAAACTTTTCGGGACAAGGCAATGCATGCACAAACTTTAGATACATTTCACTTCCGTCGGGATTAAAGTGGATCATGCTTACTGTGTGTCACCGGCTGACTCAAGTAAAAGATCTGACGTTTTTAAAAAATGGTAACATTTCTGAGCAAATTCGTATTTTTCCTGCAGTAAGACTCAACTTGAATTTCAGCAGTTAAGAGTAAAGAAGAGATAGAGTCAAACTACCCCAAATAAATGTTTCCAGAGGCTTCTGAAATTCCAAAAAGTTTCATTAAAAATCGAATCATTCACGTTTAAAACAGTCTGGAAAAAGGTACTTGGCCATGGTACATCATAGCATACAAGATAACCAGAGGTGGAATCTTTATTTCACAAGTTTCAAGATACAGTACAAAACAAATCTGTACATCTCTCTATTAACAGGATTTGTTTACACAATTATATTACACTTCACCAGCCTTTATACTGTATTTAGTTAAATACAAAATAAATTTACAAAAAAGTCTACTACGGTGTTCCTTCCAATGCCAGCTTACGGTGTTTTTCAAACTTCTAAATATTGATAGTGGTTATACCTCGATCGTACCAACACTGACCTTTTCCAGTCACAGAGAACGGTGTCAGCTTGCTTTCCAAACGGAGGAACGGTGCGTGGGCGGTGACCCCTCGCACATAACCCAGACAGCCGTCTCACACGCACAAAGTCAGACTTTTTCCTGTGCAAACTGTCACTTTAAAATACACATCTTTTCTACTTGGGGTAGTTTAAATTTTCTTGAAATACACGTAGGAGGAGGAGGAATTTAGCTTCTTTTCAATGACTGCTACATAGTAAAAATCAGGTAGTGCATCAAGACAGTATGGCATTCAGAAATTTATATTATAATTTCATTTATATTTGAGAGCAATGACTGATAAAAAATATCTTCATGAAAATAGAAGTTTCTTTTGCTTTGATTATGTCTTGCACATCTCTAGTCATAATGTTGTGCAACGTATATTAAATTCACTTTCAAACAAACACTAGCTGTCGCTGGGCCAAACGCGGCCCCTGCTGCTCTTCCCGGCAGGCAAAGGGGCTGTTTTGCCGGAAGCGTTCTGTTCTGAAGAGCATGTGAAGTGTCAAGTCCAAACAAACCTCTGTAGAGGAAGTGTTTCCCAGGTGTAGCCAGACAACGAGACAAGGGCTACACACACACAGAAGAGCTGTGTCTTCCTTTATGGGCTTGCATGCATACTTCCAAAGCACTGGTTTGAAGAACAAACATGAGGAGCAAAGGAGGGAAAAAACAAAGCAAAAAAAAAAAAATCCTTTAGTTTCTTGGAGGCAAGAGCAGCTCTTTAATTAAATAAAGAATCCGATCATCAGCAGATAGCAAGTGAAAGACTGTAAAACTTCCCAACGGTACAGAGATAAAACAGCTCGGCAGTAAAGCTCGTACATGTTAACCATGTGCGCACAAGGGTGACACACATCACCAAGAGTATTAAGATTAATACAAGTTTATCTCATTTAAGTGTTAAATAATGAACTTTGAAAAAGTTTTGTTACTTTTTCTGTGCCTTTGAATATTAACCAAAAATAGTATAAGCCTCACTCAGAAAACAGAAACAAAAACTTCAAACAAAAAGGAATGAACAAATATCATGGCTACCTTTGCAACACAAGATGGAAGCGAAAAAAGACTCTGAAACGGTGGACTACACAAGGGTCACCCACGTGGGGAGCTGCTCCTGGCGGCGCCTGTGACGGCAGGCGGGCAGGCGGGCAGGCAGGCCAGAGAACAGGCAGGGAAGACGGACTGCCGAGGGGAGGTGAAGCCGCGCTCTAGCCGCTAACTCGGAAAGCTAACATCAGAACTCCTGAATCCTGGAGTTAGTTTAATGTCACTGACATTAACTAGCTTTAGTTACTGTCATTTTATTCAAATGGATGCCATTTGATTAGGTTAAGTATCGAGCATTATTTTAGTTAGGAGAAACATCAAACCCAGTCCCTATTTGCTTAGGTATCATGAAAAGAGTTTTGTTTTTTGTTTGATCCTCACCTGAGGGTAAGCTTATTGATTTTTTTAAAAGATTTTATTTATTTATCTTTAGAGGACAAGGGAAGGAGAGAAGGAGAGAAATATCAGTGTATGGTTGCTTCTCATGAGTCCCCTGCTGGGAACTGGCCTGCAACCCAGGCATGTGCCCTGGCTGGGAATTGAACCACAGTTGTTTGGTTCGCAGGCCCGCGCTCAATCCACTGAGCTACACCAGCCAGGGCTGATTTTTTACAGAGGGAGAGGAACACTGATGTGAGAGAAACATCGATTAGTTGCCTCCCATATGTGCCCCAACCAGGGATTGAACCTGTAACCTTTTGGTGTATGGGACAATGCTCCAACTAACTGAGCGACCCGACCAGGGTGGGAGCAGGGTATTTTGAGACAGTCACAGGACTGGCGTCATGAAGTCACAGGAACTAAGTTATTTTAAATACACCATTCAAATTTCCAGTAGCAAAAGAGCCAGGGTAAATCAGGAAGTGGAAAAAAGCTGGGAAAGGGATATTTGGAATATTAGTCATAAAAAGGGCATGGCAAGTGGCGAACCGACAGGAAGTGAGTTATTGCATGAAGAACAAGCCTGCCCTTCCCCACCCAGCTTTTGGTAGTAGTGCAGTTATCTGCCATATTTTTTCAAGGTACTGATGGAGGGAAGTAAAGGTAGATAAAAATGCTGCCGAAGAAGAAACCAGGTGGATGGTAGAGGGAAAAAAGGGAACTTTAGTCATCTTAGAGATTTTCAACTTTAAATCAATGAAAACAATTCCTTCGAAATGAAGAGTAACTGCTACCAAGGGTCGTGCTGACTGAAGGGCAGGGGGGAGAGGCGGGAGGGCACCCCCGGAGCCCATCAACCGCACACAAATCTCGCATCTCAGTGCAAGAGACCAAACAGGCCGTAATATTTACAAGAGCTGCCCTTAACAGCATTATACTTTTTGAGGGTAATATTTCCTACCCTTCAGATGTGCTTTTGGACATAGGGTTCTTGCTATGACCACCTTTTCAAATTTGGAAGCGATTATCCGGGAGGAAATTTTGCTCACCGGGTTTCTCATAATACTCTAAACAACCAAAGCAGACAACTTCACATTTAAAGCCTTCATGTTCATTATAGACTAATTAAATCTAGTTCTAAACACAATCCCAACTGCGAGAACCAGAGTCTTACAACTCTACAGGTCGTAAACTCTTCAAGTCTCCTGGCAGATGAGGGACTATAGAAAGAGAGTAAAAAGGTTAAACAGACTGCGGTCAAAGGCCTAGAAAGCCCCGCTCACCTACAAATGTCGCTTTAGTCTAAAGACAGGCTGGTGAATCCCCACACCTGACAATGAAGAGAAATGCAAATTCCGGTTTATTTTTTTCATTTGTATGGTATGTGACGTTCTTGAGCTTTTCTTCACTACTGTTTTCCCTACAATTTACCCAGACAGTTCTCAAGTGTAATAGCCTTAATTTTCCTGGGCTCACAGTGGGAGTGTGGTGAACAGGACAGCTAAGCAAATGACTTTCTACTGTAACGTCAAACAGCAGAAACGAAAATCTACCTGAACAGTATGAACAGGCTTTGGCCTCCCGCAGCCGCTGCGCGTCACACGTCTCAGACTCCCTGTCTGTTTTAGTACCTGGTGCCGCTCTAGTGCAGTGACGGGGGCACTGCAGGCCGGACTCGGGCAGCGGTGCTTCGTACTAGAGAACTCAGGAGGGCGACTTGTTCTTTTGCAAAACGAAATGCAAACTAAAGAAATCCTGGTAACAAATGCTTCAACTTTTGGGAAAGTACGTCTACGATCTTGGTACCCCATGCAGGGTTCTGCAATATTGTTTTCTAATTTCTCCCATCTAGTCCATCCTCTGGCTTCCAGATCAAGGCTCTGCATAGTCAAAACATTTAACAAATCACATTAAGCAGGTGGGGCAAATGCACACGTTAGCTCCTGGAGTCAGTTCACAATGTTTTCTATGTATTCCATTCCAAAGAAATGAAGTTCACATACAACTCTAACAAGGCCTTTCCATCTTGGAAGGAGAGAAGCATGGTGTAAACCACGACAATGACCAACGATCAGAAACTTCCCTTCCTTCCCTTTCAAAACAACAAAGATGCTGAATCTGTATACTTGCATACGGACTGGTAAACGTTTCTGTTTGGGCATTATTCTGATATACTTTGACGATTTTTTTTAACTTAAAAGGCAAGTTCTAGTTTCAGACTTTCCAAACATGTTAAGGTTAAACTTGCAACTAACCGGGGCTTCCTTTTCATACAGATTAGGCGTTAGTGTCGATGCACAAGTCCTTAAAGAAGGTTGATCGGAGAACTTACGCACACTGAGAGAAGGACTGAAAGGACCCAGGAAAGATAGGTGGAGACAGCAGACATTACTTTGAGTGTCTCACATGTTTCCAGGAAACAAAAAAAGGGAGAGCCATTGTGAGTTGTTATTCCAAACGGCATTGAAACATTCAACTCAGTTTAGGTAAGAGTTACTTATCCCTGAAAATAAAGGCATCAGATTCTAAGCAGCTTTAGGAATTCAATGCTTCCTTGTGCCTCTTCCGGGAGGTGGCCACTGATCCAAAGTCCCAAATCAAATGCAGGTAGGTGTTCTCTGCAAACAATTTCCTTGCTTGTCACTGACCAGGGCTGGACACGGAGGCTGTTACTGTGGCGGCTGTTGCTCTGGCGGCCCCTCCTGCTGCGGCGGTGCTGGCCGTGGCCCCGGCGGCCTGGGTGCAGGCACGTCTTGGTGCTGCCTCTGCCTGTAAGCTATGACTGTTCCCAAGAGCAGCGCGATGATAGTCATGAGGTAAAGGTCCCACTCCGGCCCCAGAAGCTGGTCCATGTCAAGCTGGGTGAACATATCTCGAACCTTAACGGGAATAACATAAAAAATCATTCTGATCACTAAAACATCAGAGAAGGAGTCAAGAAAATCACATCACAAATTAAGAGATAAATACAGAACTTATTAAAATAACTGACTTTAGGAACATTTTGCAATTAAAAAAAGTTTTAGAAGCCTTCGACTGAAACTCAAAAGATAATGCATCTCGGAAACTGAGCTATTATTTCATAACAGTTGTGTATATTATAAGGTGCCTGGTAGGGTTTCTTTCCATTAGGAATCTAAGGCACTAGTTCCCAACCATTTTCCACAGAAAATATTTGAAAAAAACACTGGGGACAATGGCGGGCCAAGGGGAGAAAAGAAAAATCTGTATCTTGGCCCACCTGCAACCCATCCGTGGTCACGGCGCACCAGCTGCGGAGCTCTGCTGTGACGACGGCAAGGCTATTCTATTACTTCTCTCAGGCCACTGACGATGGCAGAATTCAAGTGTTTAGTAGCTGGATAAATGCTTTTCATTTTTATTTATTATTATTATTATTAGTAGTAGTATTTTTAGATTTATTTACTTATTTATCCTTAGAGGGGAAGGGAAGGAGAGAGAGAGAAATATCAATGTATGGTTGCCTCTCGTGCGTCCCCTGCTGGGAACTGGCCTGCAACCCAGGCATGTGCCCTGACTGGGAATTGAACCACAGTTGTTTCGTTCACAGGCCCGTACTCAATCCACTGAGCTACCCCAGCCAGGGCTGAATGAATGCCTTTTAAAAATTCTGAATTTAGCCCTGGCTGCGGTAGCTCAGTGGATTGAGCGCGGGCCTGCGAACCAGACAATCGAGGTTCAATTCCCAGTCAGGGCACATACTGGGGCTGCAGGCCGGTTCCCTGCAGGCCAGTTCCCAGCAGGGGATGCATGAAAGGCAACCATACATTGATGTTTCTCTCCCTCTCTCCTTCCCTTCCCCTCTAAAGATAAATAAATAAAATCTTTATTAGAAAAAATTCTGAATTTAAATACTTAACGCCTGAATGTAAAGTTAAAATTATGTTCTTAGTCTATGGTATTTCAATTGTCCTAATGTCACTTAAGTCACTCTCATTATTTCCTGCCACTTGGTCACGAAGAAAATAAACATGGAGTATAATCCTTTGCGTTTTAGTAAAATTACATTTTAAAAGCTCACACAGTAAGCCCTGGCCAGTGTGGCTCAGTTAGCTGGGCACTATCCTGCAAATCAAAAGGTCATGGGTTCAATTCCCACTCGGGACACATGCCTAGGTTGCGGATTCAATCTCTGGTCGGAGTGCATACAAAAGGCAACCAAGCGATGTTTCTCTCTCGCATTCATGTTTCTCTACTGCTCCTTCTCCCTCCCCTCCCCTCTCTGAGATCAGTAAGCATGTCCTTGAGTGAGGATAAAAAAATAGTAAAATTAAATGTCCCCACAGCATATACCAGTTCATACAGACAATATATTTTTCTGGAAAGAAATTACAAGAAACTATTAACTGTGTTTCCTGGGGTGGGGACAGCAATGGGAGAGTTCCTGGTTCTCTGACTGTTCAACTTTCTTGCCATGTTGAGTTGTATGATCAAACCCTGGACTGTAACTGCCAGCTCATTAGTCTGAGAAACTGTGAGAGACAAGGGTCTGGAATAGTCCTGCAGAGAAGCAGGGCGCTGGCAGCTTTTTAACTGAAGGATCGAAGATCCCTTCAATCAGCAGAGCGCACAGCGCACCCTGGCTCGTGCTGTCAGGCAACTAGACATGTGCCGCTACAAATGCACAAGCAATGGGAAGGGCAGAGCCCCATGTCTCCAGTCCTCTGGGGCCCCCGAGACCCTCAGTGGCATGAACCAGGGCTGCGTGACGGGGTGGTCGAATTTCTCGTTTACAGATGCTGGAGCACCATCAACTGCATTTGTATCTGTGTAACACAGGAGAGAATCCATCCTGGAATCCAATGACGAGACAGTAAATCTATCTAGTCTGAAAGATGGTAACTAGAGGTTGCAACGCGACCCTTTTCTTGTCCAGAATGAATTAAAGTTGAATAGCCCTTGTTTCTGCATGTGTTTTAAGAATTTCAGAGTCAAATGCTGTACTGGTTAATCCTTTATGAGGAACTACAGGCACTGGAAACAAAATGTCAAACTGGAGACTCGGAGCACCTACATGTAAGTGTTGTTAACTAAAGTTGGCAGTTTGGAAGAGGATGGCTAACCCATCCCCTATCTAGGTTCTGCCTTTAGCTTATTTAAGTAGCTTCAGGTATTTTTAGAGAACAAAACGCTGGTGGTAGTTTTAGCATGTTTCACTATCAGAAGAATCTAAAGTGCAACGGCCTGGGCAGGTTACCAGGTTTTACTTCTTCTTTTTTAAAACTCTATTTTTATGTGAGGTCTGAGTCACTGCTAGGCAGGCAGTCATTTGATTTAATGTTTACTGAATTTAGCTAACTACTGTTTCAAACTGGGTTAGTCTGTTTTCCCCCAATCAGAAAACACCTGTATCAGTGCAAAATGCTTCAGCACTGGGAACCACTGGTCAAACGCTACCTGAAAACTGTAGCTGCAGGTGGCTACATTTACCCCTCACCTGATGAGGTCTACAGGTACTTCATCTGGGGAAGGGAGAAGACTGGACACTTGCAGAATACTCCTCACCTCTCCCCCAGCATTTAAAATACACACCTCCGCCAACCTGTGAACCAAAGGGTCACCAGTTCGATCCCTAGTCAAGGGCACATGTCTGGATTGCAGGCCAGGTCCCCGGTTGGGGGTGCACTAGAGGCAACCACACACCGATGTTTCTCTCTACTCTCTCCCTTCTTCTTTCCCTAAAAATAAAATCTTAAAAAAAATACAAGCCCCTGGGCCAGGTGACGCATCATCTGTATTTTAAGTGAAAGAGGCAGGGACCACTTACATTTGTGTCCCGCAGGTACTGCAGGAAGTAGACGACGCCCAACTTGCAGAGCGCTAGGAAGACGGGCACTTGTGCATCGGGGCTGGCCTCCGCTGCCATGTCATAGAAACGTTTCGCGAGGTGGATGTCCTGTAAGATAGGTCATGAACCAAAATTTACCTCTGTTAAAATAATTGTTTTTTAGTTTATATAGTAGAAAATTTATTTTACCTCTCAAGTTGCATTTTAAAATTTCCCTCACCTAAAGAAAAAACCCAAGTTTTAACTGGGTAGTATTTCTTTAACTGCTTAATTTGGAAAAACGTCACTGAGCAATTTAAGACAACTCGTGCTTCCCCAACCTGACACCTACTTGTGCAGACACGCGGCCTGGCCTGCATTTTCAGACTTTCAGAGTTGGGTGCTGCACAGTCTCCCCCCTACAGACAAGACTGTCAGCGTGGACGTTTCCAGGGGTGACCAGTAGGCTGCAAGTTAATTTCTTTCCTACTTAAAACTTCCTTCAATTCCTGGTTTCAGTTTGCAGCAGTGATCTTTAAGATTAGACATATTCCATTTCAGTAGACAACATTTTCCAAGGGCCATCTGCATGGACACTGTGAAGGGACTCCCACCCTGTGCCTCCCAGTCTCAGACATAGTTCTGTTAAGGGTGAAACAAGTCACTGCTAATTTTGGCCCAGGTTGGAGTACTCAGATATATGTAGAATGGGACAGTGGGAGTTGTGAAATTTTCATTCACCACCTTACTTCTTCCATGACCTGACTATTACCAAAGAATATCAAACTCCTAGGAAAGAATTCCATTTCAGACATGGGAAAGAAAGGCTTAATATTAAAAACGACTTTTCCACACATTTAAACATAACAATTACTTTTAGCCATTCCCTATAATGGGTATGCTATTAATTGGAAAGAAGAGCATCTTCAAACAACAGTAACAGTATGGTTAGTGTCTTTGACTTAAAAAAATAAAAAATACTGGCATTTTTTGGACTGCCATAATTTTTAAGTTCACAGATCATACATACTATGTGATAACATAGATTCTACGAGTATGAGTAAATAGGGTAATTAAACTGTAGCTATGAACTTGGCTGGTGTAGCTTAGTGGACTGAGTGCCAGCCTGGGAACCACAGGGTCGCTGGTTTGATGCCCAGTCAGGGCACATGCCTGGGTTGCAGGCCAGATCCCGGTAGGGGGCACATGAAAGGCACCACACATTGATATTTCTCTTCCTCCCTTCCCCTCTAGACAAATAAAATTAAAAAAATAAATAAATTATAGCTATCAATTACATCCTGAATTATTTATTCCAGTTATGACTCATCTTATTTATATCTTAATATTTTTCTATTTACACTAGATGATTAGTTTTTAGTAGTATAAATGTCTTTCATTTAAAAAAATAAGAAAAATAGAAAAAAGATTATGATGCCTTATAAAAACTAATGGGCTTACAGTCATTTTAATGCATAATTATTCAATTGTTCTTAAAAGTTGAACCCTAGAGTTTCCCCTCCTCAATGACGCCTTTTATCACATTCTTTATTCCCAAGAATTTACATAAGCTATACAGTACATTAAATGAGATGATAAAAGCATACTGATTCATTTTTTTTCAATATATACATTTTACTGTTTATGCTGTAACAGGTGTCTGAATCCCCCCCTTGCTCCCCCTCCCCAGCCCCCCACCCACCCACAGACCCCACACTGTTGTTCATGTCCATGGGCCATGCGTCCCGGTCCTCTGTCTACTCCCTCCACCTTCCTACACCCAGGGCCAGCCTCTCCCCTCCCCTCTTACAGCTCTCAGTCTGTTCCTTGTTTCTGTGCCTCGGATTCTGTTTTGCTCATTAGTTAATTTTGTTCCTTAGATTGGTTTCTTGTTTTATGACCTATTATAAAAACAGTGTTAGAATTATATGATTTTAATCCTGACTGCTCTTAGTAAATTATTCCTAGGTGTAGCCCATAAAAGTCACAACTTATGGTGTGATTTTTACATTAGCCATCAAACACGTATTGCTTTTATTTAAATTAGAAAACACAGCCAGACTTCAGGGGGAACGGTGGCTGGGCTGACTGATCTGACAGTGAGGGGAGGCCTGGTCACTGTGTTACGGGGCACAGACCTTCCACAAACTGAATGCAGCTCTGGTCTTCATAAATGATGTTCGAGTATCTAACATCAATGTAAATGTAAAACATCAAAATTTACATGTTGTATTATAATTAGAATAAAACCAGTGTTCAAACATGATAAAAAAGCACTCTGACCGAAAATGAACAACTGTCCCTTAAGAACATTAGGTCAACCAAGTGCTTCTAAGTGGCAGAGTGGGGGGTACGACTGGTCACTTGACAAGCTTTGGTGAAGCTTTTTAGTCATTCCTCCCAGAAACTGGGAAGGGGACGACCCCAGTGACGGGGGACGCCTCCTCTGCAAGTCTCTAGATTCCAGTTCTTTGCTTTCAACAAAACTGGAGAGGGATCCAGCCAAGTTATCAGATGATAGATCATTACAAATGACTTTAATGGCAGGCCACCAATTTTTGACACATATTATGCACTGAATCTTAGTGTGTATGTTGAAACCCTCCCCTCCAATGTGACGGTGTTAGGAGATGAGATGTCTGAGAGATAATTAAGATCAGATGAAGTCATCAGGGTGGAGCTCTTGTGAATGCAACTGGGGTCCTTTTAAGAGTCCCCGTAGAGCCTGCTGTTCCTCTCTTGCTCTTTCCTCAGGTAAGGGCAAAACCAGAAAGACAGTTGGCCATGATCCAGAAAGTGGGCCCTCGGCAGACATCAAGTCTGACCTTCAACTTCCCAGCCTCCAGAACTGTGAGAAATAAGTTTCTGTTGTTTAAGCCACCCAGCCTATGGTATTCTGTTCAGGGAGCAGCCCAAATTGACTAAGATAGCATATAACCCTATAGCGGTTTAAAGAATTAAGTGATCTTTTTTTTTTTTAAATTTTATTTAGTTATTTTTCAAGTACAGTTTTTTGTCTATTTTTCCAGGGATGTGATCTTAAAGACTATAATACAATTCTTTTCTTTCCCATGTACTTATTTTATCAAAATTTATTAGCAGTATGTTTGTAATTGACTAATTATGACTAATAATATCTCAAAAATTTTCCTTAGCACTTAGAGCCTATAATCCAAGGACATAAAATTCAAAATCTGAATTTATATATATATTTATTTAAGATACATACAACAGAGTGAATAGTAAAAGACCTAAGCTTAAAAAACATTACATTATTATAAAATTCTATGGGAATAGTGGACTGAAAATAAAAATTCAGGGAGAAAAGGAAGAGATGCAACATGCAATTCGAGAATTTGCTATATATTTTAAAATGAGTGTTTTTTTTTTTTTAAGAGACAGAGGAAGGGGAGGCAGGGGAGACAGAGACAGACAGAGGCTGACTTGCTGCTCTACTCGTCCACGCACTCACTGGCTGGTTCTTGTACGTGCCCTGACCAGGGATCAAACCTGCAACCTCAGCCTATCAGGATGACACTCTAACCAACTGAGTTACCTGGCTAGGGTTGCTATATATTTAAAAAAAAATTAATAATGGGTGCATCAAATTATTTGGAGTAATGTATATTAAGTCAATTGAAAGTAATTTAATAATTTTATTAAAAATGTTCTTTAAGCTAGCTAGAACTTAAACTCTTTGAAACTTAAGATGAAAAAATTTAAATGTCAACCTACAAATGCACAAGATAGCTTTCAAAATTCTTTAAAGGCGCACAGGCAAAAACTCAGACCATGGGTCTAGAGACTGTTAGTTTTCATTAGGTTTAAGAACCAGAACTAAGCAGGGGTGGGGGGGCACATGGAGGGCTGACAGGATTGAGAAGTACAGACTGGCAGTTGCAAAACAGACACAGGGTTGCAGAGTAGAGAAAACACAGTCACTAATACTGTAGTAACTTTAGGTGGTGCCAGGCGGAGACTGCAAATACCAGGGGAACCACTCTGTGAAGTATATGCTTGTCTAACCACTATGCTGTAAACCTGAAACTAATGCAAACTGTAATTGATAAAAATTTTATCAATAAAAAGCAGAAATAAGTTTATCATCAAAAGTAATCATCTAAAAAAAAAGTAATCATCTCAATTCATTTCACAATAATTTAGAAAAGAACAGAATTTGTCTGATCATGGGTGGCTTTTCAAATAAGGAGTTATCAATAGAGGCCACACTGCATTTCTGTTTTCATGCATCTGTTTTTGGCTTAATATCCCAAATATCACATTAGGGACGTCAGTATGTGTGTGAGCTGGAAGGTGAGAGAGACAGAAAGGCAGTCTTTTGAAATATTACAAAACTCTCGTAGCTTAATATCTGAAATCTGAGCACATTCCCAAGAAAGCTTGTTTTCTATAAAAATGCAGACGTTTCCCCCAAATCACAATTTATACAATTCGAACATGTGTTTTGCAGCCACACTCACCTGTTTGATGCCCAGTCCTTTCTCATGCATATATCCCAGGTTAAACATCGCCTGTGCACTGTGTTGTTGCTCAGATGCTAGACGGTAATGAATAAACGCAGTTTCGTAATCCACGTCAGTGCCAAATCCATAGAAATGGTAGTCTCCAAGCTTAATTCTAGCCACGGTGTAACCTTAAACAGAAGTTAAATGCAAAACTGCCAATAAGTACAGTATTTAAAACAGAGCACACTGTTTTTTTCTCTTCCTGTTAATATGCTTACATGAAACAGAATTTTAATTTGTAGTACACAAACTTAACAACAAACCTTTCGGCCAAGCTATAAATTCAGTAAAAATGAGAACGAGAAGTACTGCTTCTTGGAAGGTGGCTTTGTAACAGGCAGGGAGAGGTGAACCCAGGTGGGCGGTGCTCCCTGCGCCTGCGATGATGCTCTTTAAACGGCCAGGCCCTACTCTACATCACGTACACTTTAAACCAGTTCACCTGGATTACTGTTTATGCTCGAAGAAGGGATAGGAAGACAATTTGGAGAGTTGTATGTGTGAGGAAAAATACTCAAGCAAAACACAGTGGAAAAAGTTAAAATCTTTTGGGGTTTAGACTAATATTCCATTCTACATTCCATTCGATTCTCATTTACACAATATGCTGGGCTTTTACCGAAAACTGAAGAGGAAGCCAGAGCATGACGTAAGTGCCCAGTACAAGCACCTTGCAATTCAACTTAGAAACCCTGGGACTAGAACTTCCATTTAAAAAATAAATACCAACCACAATGCAAACCATACTAACAATGCAAGCAATAGTTAGTACCTCTGCTTAGTTTTAATGTGATAAATGACAGGACTTCATCTTTATAGGAAATAAAAAAACGAAAAAACCCGAAAAGCTGAGAGGGCCTGGGCGAGCCCCCGCTCACCTTGAGAGGCAGCCCGGTTCCAGTGCAGCAGAGCTCGGGGGTACGTTTCGTTCTCGCCCACAATGGTTGCTTCCCCTGCAGGGAGAGATGTGACACAAATCAGGCGTTTACGGAAAGGCACTTGCCTCCTGGGCTCCATTTGGAAACTAGGGTGATATGTGCAGCACAATTTAAGTAAGAATTGGGATATTACATATATTAACTAGAAAATATATTGTAATAAAATTAAACAGGTATTGAAATACAATACTGAGTTAAAGGGAATCACGGCATTTAGGGCAACATTATGTCCTGAAACATGTTTTATCCCCAGAACCAAGACGAGACTGACCACTGAACCGCTCCTGGGGACCTAACCACGGCTGGAAAAACAATGTTTTGTATCTGCTGTATTTTGAAATGTATTTGCCAAAAGCAGTCGATTTATGATGAAAGTCAGTTCTACTTCTACTGTCAGCTCCACACAACTAACGTGGATGGCTTGGAGATCTGAGGTGGAATAACTCAAGCATGGGTGGAGAGTTCTGTTTACAGCAATAAAGAAGTTTCTTTGTGCCTGTCTCTTTAAACAGGTCCCCCGAGTGGAGCGAGCCCTGGTGTCCCGAACCCCGGGCAGGAGGAGTGCGCCTTACTCTGGTCGAGGATGAAGGCCGCGTTGCTCTGGGCCACTTCGTAGCCTTGCTCGGCCAGCAGGAGGTACTGGACCACCGCGGCATCGCAGGCGCCTTCTTTATAGCTGCTGTAGGCTGCCATGAGCCTCTCGGCCCAGCGGCCCCGCTCACAGACGTTCTTAAACAGCTGTGTGAACAGGAAGAAAAGACAAAACAATGAAAGACTAAGAAAGCTATGCCAGAAGATCAGTTTTTCACAGGGGCCACAAGTGTGTGTAAAGCATGCTCTCTGCATGTCTGGATTTTTATTAAATACATACAAAAGTCTGGGATGTATATATTTGAAGTGCTCACTTCATCTTTAGAATAGCATATGGGGGTGGGGTGGGGAAGAACAGCATACGAATTATAGCGAACAGCCCTGGCTGGTGTGGCTCAGTGGATTGAGTGCCAGCCTGAAAACCAAAGGGTTGTGGTTTGATCTCCAGGGCATGTGCTTGGGTTGTGGGCCAGGTCCCCAGTTGAAGGCGTGTGAGAGGCAACCACACACTGATTGATATTTCTCTCCCTCTCATTCTCTCTCCCTTCCCCTCTCTAAAAATAAATAAATAAATAAATAAATAAATAAATAAATAAAATCTTTAGAAAAATAGCAAATAATTTATTCTGACCAGACACTGTTCTAGTAATTTATACATAGAATGTATGTCAACTCACTTAACCTGCCCGTGAAGTCTATGAGGGAGCACTCTAAGGTGAATCCTATTAACACCCCAGTTTACCAGTCGGAAAACTGAGGTACAGAGAGGTTCGAAACTTTTTTGAGGATGTATCAGTGTCACTCTGAAGTGCCAGTTAGGAGAGAGCTAAAGCCCAGCAGTTCCAACGGGAAGGTGTTAGCATCCCCCTTTGCAACATTCATTGAGCATACACGCATATGCTTTTTTGACACTGTGTCTCACACATTGTCTTATGTGCTAGAGAGACAGCAGCCAACAATGTCTGTCCTTGTTAACACTGACTCTAGTTGGGAGGGACAATGAAGTGAGCGAGTGTGACGGTAACACAGACCGTCAGAGTCTCCCTCAATACACTAATGTTAGCAGGCTGCGCCTGTTTCTACTCTAGAAGAAACTGCACAAAGAAAACGAGAGTTATAACAGCAGATTTTCCTACCGAGCATATTAATTTCCTGTACAGAAGCTGGTAGAAAAGCCTTTACCTCCACTGCATTGTGACAGGATCGCATCACGCCTGTGCCACTGGCATGCATCTGTGCCAGGTTATAGAAAGCCAAGATATGGCCTCCCTGAGAAGCTAAATTAAAATACTTCAAGGCCTGTTTGTAATCCCTCTTGACTCCAATGCCATCTGTAAAGAAAAATCACATGAAAGGTCAAGAATAATCTCAAATAAGATTTAGCTAAAGCATCAGAGAAGTAAAACAAAATAAAATTCAGAATCCTTACTCAGGAAAGATGTAAATCCTATTAATAGAGATCTGTGTATTAACACACATTAATATAATTCACAATAAGAAACAAGATGCACAAATCATTGAACTGGGAGAACGTTAATCAACCAGTATTCACTAGCTCTCATTTCCACATCATAGTGACATCTAGTGAAATTAGGTAATTAAATTATCTTGGTGAATTTACTGGTAATCCCACCATTACTTACTATAGTACATAGAGCCAAGCTGTAGCTGTCCATCCACCCAGCCTTGTTCGGCAGCTTTCTGAAAATACTTCAGTGCCAGATCATAATTCTGTAAGAAAAGATCATCTCATCACATGGTCACAAGATTGGAAAGCTCAAAAGGCTGATGTAATCAAAAGGCAGGAGATTAGTTAAAAAGAATTAACAAAGCACACAAAATGTTTTCAAAGAGCCATTATAAATACTTCCTGGTTTTTATAATATAGAGATAATAATATACTTGAAGTCACAGGAGGATTAACAGTTAAGAGTTTGGAGAAAAGCAAATCGAGTTTTGGTGCAACGATCTGCACCTCTGCTCTCAGCATCAACACCAGCAGTGGAACACAAGCAAAGGATTTAAGAAACAGTCTTTTCTGCTAACCAACCAATCCCTTTTAAACCTCAGTTGTTCCAATACTAAATAAGGATGATTATTCTCTCCTTATTCATTCCTTCCCAGTGCTCTTTGTGAATACTACATGATCATTACACTTCAGATATCATATGTATCCACAGAGGAAAACTGAAACAAAGATCAATACTGAATTTCAGTATCCTAAAATGACGAGAAGGAATCAAAATGAGACCACATCACTGTCTCTTATGCTAGGCAATGCATATAGGTTAGAATCCCAAACCTGGCCCTTAGTTTCGGACCCTAGTAAAAGGAACGGATTGCTTAGAGATTCCACACAGAGGGCAGAAGAGGGCAGCAAGGAGAACCCAGGTGTCCCACAGGAAGAAGTAGCGCGTGAGAGTGAGAACAAAGGCCCAGGAAAACCAGGAGAGCTCGCAGCGACAGCACTTGAGGGGAGACACAGGTCATGCGACACAGAACCAAAATATGTCAACTGGAGTGCCATTTAGGAAGTTTCTGGAGACCTGGACAGAGCAGCTACACGAGGCAGAAGCCTGACTGCTTTGAGCTAAAGCGTGAATGGTAGCAGCTGGCGCAGCTCCTTCTTTGGAGAAACCTGGCTGTGCGGTAAGGGCTGCAGTGCAGAGGAGGGAGGTGGTGTCCAGGAGGCAAAGGGAAGGCGGGAAAGCTTTCCTCCTCCTACAGGGGAGAGACCTGAGCATTTCCTTGGGTTTGAGTGAAGAAGCACAAGGGAGATGTTCCAGTCTTGGAGAGAAGGAGGAGTAGACAGGGCAGACAGCATCAGTGAGAGAACGAGAGACGAGAGAAAAGGTGATGTTTGCTTACAATGAAACGGCCTATCTGGGCTGACTGGAGGCTGGTTCGGGAATGACTCTACCTCACTGGCTGACCACTTGTTAAAATCAGAATGTCAGACAGCAAACTTACAACTTGAACCCCTCTTCCATAGAGATAAGCCATTCCAAGCCCACTCTGTCCAACTGGGTTGCCCTGTAAACCAGAGAAAAAAAGAGGAAAATAATTTATTACAAAACAGACAAGACTAAATGTCTGCAAGAGGAATAATTTACAAGCACATTCAAAACATGTTCTTAGCACTTTTCAATTCAAAACAAATTTTTTTCCTTCCTATCAGGCTAAACATAGTACTGACATTTAGATATTTGGGGGCTTTCAATAATTTGCTGAAGAGCAAATATTAAAATCATTTACAATTAAATTTGGATGACTTACCTTTTGACCATATGTTCTATGAATTTATAATATAAAACATAACTAATGTATTTCAGCTTTTAGTAACTAAAGGTAACTCATTTTTTTGGAGTAGTTTTTTATTAGTAAGTTCCCTCCCCAACAAAGAAAGAAGAGGCCAAGGGGGAAAGTTAAAAATCATGTAATATTGCAATCAGGTGGCAAAGACATTCTTAACATTACTGGCACGTTGTAAAGCAAAGGTAATCACTGTTTAGACATTTGAAAGAGAAAAATCTAGAATTTGACTCAGAGGGACGGAAAGCATCTTCAAAAGTGTCAGAGCACCCCTGGGAAACACTCAACTGACATTGAGAACTATGGTAACAGACAGTTGGCAGAGAGACACGTGCACGCACTGCAGGTGCAGGTCGCTTTCTCTGCGGCAGAGAAAGCCTAGATTATGTGCTGTGCTTATCAAAAGTAGCCAATTATGTAAGTTTTAAACCTCAAGTTGCAACATAGATAAGGTAAATTATATAACCCTCAATTCCACTACTAAAAATCAATTATTTCCCTGATCAGAAAATTTCCCAGAGAAATTTCAAGAGAAACTTAAAATGCAATCTGATCCCTAAGAAAAAAGGAATTGCTTTTTATTGGGAAGATTTATTTTCTAGCCAATTCATTCTCGTGACTCGTATTTACATAAATGCTTTAAACAGTTTACGGTATGACTCGGTTGTAACCAATCCTCTGATGTAACACGTGTTAAGACGACAACACTGCGGGACACACTTCGACGCCCTTGGTCGTGAGGTCTCACCATGTCCGCAGCTTTCTTGAAGTAGTGAAGAGCCGTCTCGTTGCTCTGAGGCACAGTGTCGCTTCCCTCGGAATACATCTGCAAAACAGACTCCGATTACGTTCTTTCCTGCCTCATCTCTTTCTGCTTTTCGTGAGATCTCACGAAATCTTTCAACAAAATTAAAAAGTCCCCGCAGAATATTTTAGAATTAAAAGCAAAACCTTAAAGCAGACATTTTTACATTACCATACATTCTAAGTCATAACGAATTTATGACTTACCTCTAAGCATTTACTATATAAAATCAGTTTATAGATCAATCTCAGGACAAGAAATTGTTAACCCCCAGATGAATCTTTTTTCCCTCACTTAAAATGGGGTGACAGACGGCTTGGGATCAGGGACTAAACGGGGAAGGAAAGGAGAGCTGTCGGCAGTGTTTTTCCTTCCTCTTCTACCACCGCTTTCCCCAGGCTAAGATGAAAGGTGGTCAAAGACCAGGAAAAGAAATAACTAAGTAAATGGTTACTTTAAAATGTTTCAAGCACCAAATAGTTAGAGTACCAGGTATGGAACATGATAAAGGACAAAGGGAAAGAACAGAATGACTAATACTGTTTTTATCCTACACATTAATGACAAAGGACATCATTTTTGAGGTAGGGCTAGATAATTATATAGCAAAAATTGAAAGGTATCAATTGAAAAGTTCTTAAATGCTTAACAAGAATAGAAAGGAATACCACTTAATGTTTAAATGCAAAGTTCTCAGGCCCCAGTTAACTAATTGTGATCACGTGGCAAACACTGATCAGATATTTCTGTTTGGAAAAACCTTTGAGATATAGTCTGTCTGAGCCTTGTAATCTCAGGATTTGGATATAGACGAAAATACTGATTGGTCTTTCAGTCAAGATGGTGGTGTAGGTAAATATGGCTCACCACCTCGCACAACCACGTTAAAATGACAACTATACGCCCTGGCTGGTGTAGCTCAGTGGATTGAGTGAGGGCCTGCAAACCATGGTAACCCTACAACTACAGAATTAAAGAAGAAACCACATTGAGACTGGTAAGAGGGGTGGAGATGTTGAATGGGCTGGTCCCACACCCATATGTGGTAGTTAAAAATTGGGAGGGATATCTTGGGAATAAGAGGTCCTAACCCCACATCAGGCCACCCAGCCCAGGGTTCCAGTGCCAGGAAGACCCCATAACTTGTGGATGTAAAAACCAGTAGGGACTGAGGCTGTGGAAGACAGAAACTTCTTGAGTCCCAGGCAGGTCCTCTTAAAGGGCCTGTGCTTGGACTTACTCAGACTCACTCCCTCTGAGCCAGCAGTGAGGCAGCAACTTGAAAGGCACCAGAGACAGGAAGGAACTGAAGTGTATGACATCAGGGCAAGAGCTGGGGGCGGGGGGCAGCTTTCTCCCAGACAAGCAGTGCTGACAGAGGCCACTGTTCCTTTCCCGAGCCCTCCCCACAGAGCTGGCAGGCAGGCAGCGTATCTCAGACTCCATCAACTTGGTTCACAATGTTTGCCCAATACTGGTGATTTCCTGAGGCTCCACCCTGCCCGACTTTCAAGCCTACCCAAGCTGTTTTCAGTGGCTTTTCCACATGAATGGCTTGTCTTGGCTCACACTTCAGACATTCTTCAATTCTCCCAAATAAGCAGCATCTTGCCTCAGCAAGCCCTCTCACTAAGTGGCCCCAGGCCTGGCACCAGCAATAGCTGACCTTGGTTCACAGCTTGGCTTCACTTGGGCACCTCCAAACTCAGCACAAGTAGCAGCCATCTGCAGATTGCTTTGTAGCTTATGCTGGGTGGCCCTGGACACAACACAGGGGGTGGCTGACCTTGGACTGTGCCTCCTGGGAGGACCCAGAGCCTGTGCACCCAGTGGACAGCTACAGACCATGTCAGAGCACCACGACCGAGCCACCTCCACAAGTAACATACTCAAGGGTAGGACTCGGAGGACACTGGACTTCTACTTAGGTAAGTACCACTCCTCCACGGTGGTCAGAGGTTGCTGGTCAGTGGTCAAGGCTAGTCCTTTCAGCTGATCAACCTGGGTAAATTCCTCCCATTGATCTGCCCACAGCAATCAAGGCACAGTTACAAGGAGAGGGTGTACACAGCCCACATTGTGGGTGAACCTCAAGTACTCAACTTGGGTGACAGGGGAGGCTGTGCCCTCCAGGGTCCCTACAGGGCACCTACTGCATTAGGCTACTCTGTCAAGTCAGGGAGACATAGTAGCTCTACCTGATACATAGAAACAAACACAGGGAGGCTGCCAAAATGAGGATCCAAAAGACATGTTCCAAATGAAAGAACAACACTCCAGAAAAAGAATTAAACAAAATAAAGACAAGCAATCTACTAGATGCAGAGTTCAAAACACTGGTAATAAGGATGCTCAATGAATTTAGGGGGAGAGTAGATGAACCCAGAGAGAACTTCAACATCATAGAAAAGGACATGGAAACCATTAAAAAAAAAGCAGTCTGAAATGAAGGATATACTACCTGAAATGAAGAACAATTTTCAGGGGATCAACAGTAGAGCAGATGAAGCTGAGAATCCAATCAGTGACTTGGATTGAATACAAGGAAGGAAAACACCCAATCAAAACAGCAAGAAGAAAAAAGAATCCAAAAAAATGAGGACAGTGTAAAGAGCCTCTGGGACAACTTCAAGTGTACCAACACTGCATCATGGGGATGCCAGAAGGAGAAGAGGGAGCAAGAAACTGAAAACCTATTGAATAAATGACAGAAAACTTCCCTAATTTGGTGAAGGAAATAGACATACAAGTTCAGGAAGCTCCAAGGGTTCCAAACGAGATGAACCCAAAGAGGCCCACACCAAGACACATCATAATTAAATGCCAAAGTTAAAGACAACATCTTAAAAGCAGCAAGAGAAAAACAGTTACCTACAAGGGAGCTCCCATAAAACTGTTAGCTGATTTCTCAAGAGAAACTTTGCAGTCCAGAAGGAACAGGCAAGAAATATCCAAACTGATGAAAAGCAAGGACCTAGAACAGAGATTACACTACCCAGCAAAGCTATCATTTAGAAGTGGACAGATAAAGAGCTTCCCAGCAAGAAAAATCTGAGGGAGTTCACCACCAGCAAACCAGTATTATATGAAATGTTAAAAGGTCTTCTTTAAAAAGAAGATAAAAATATGAATAAAATGGTAATAAATACATGTCCATCAATAATTGAATCTAAAAAAACAAATGAAAAAACAGAACAGAAACAAAGTCACAGATACAGAGAATGTTGGGGGAGATGGGCAAAAAAGGTGAAGTACAAATTGGCTGCTACAGAATAGTCATGGGAATGTAAAGTACAGCATAGGGAACACAGTGTCCAAAGAACACATATGCACGACCCATGGACATGAACGATGGTGTGGGGACTGCCTGGGGGAGTGGTGGGGTCTGGGTGGATCAGGGCCAAGGAAAAAACCGGAACAAGCATAACATTATAAACAATAAAATAGAATTGAAATTAAATAAATAAAGTAAAAAATACTGATTTGTTTACACTACAGTAGCTTTCAAAATAGTGAAAAAGGAAGTTATGAGACTGTGCCATGACATGTGGAATCTATTCAGTAAGTCTGCAGACTTAAACATGCTCTTGAGAAATGGACGCACCAACAGGTGGGTGATGGCTCCCTCATTTAAGACTATGAAAGGTCTTCGGACAAATTACAACTAAATCTAATTGCCTCTATTCAGCATGGACACTAACAGAAATTATGACAGACTAGCAAAAAACTACGTCGCATAAATTCCTCATTATTACCTATGATACATGAAAAGTAGGAACTCAGATAGTGGTAGCTGATATTAACTGAGAATCAACATACTGACGAGCAAGTGCTATGTTATATTTAAGTCACTGAGGCAAATGCCGCAGACTGGCAATGCCTTAAGACAAGATGCAAGAAGCTTGCACTAGAAATTTTACTTCCAGTTTATTTCTGGCAAATTGTAGATCTTGAATACAGAATATGTACTTACTCTGCCAACACCTCTTGCTATTTCATAATATATTCACAGGAGTACAGGAGTACAGTACCTTTCCTAAGAAGGCCATAGCGTGTGAATTGCCAGCATTCGCGGCTAAATTGAAGTAGTCAAATGCTCGCTGTAAGAAAAGAATTTATTAAAATAATTAGTTTTTAATAGAATCCATCCTTGGCTTTTAACCAAAATAATTATTTCAGGAGCATTTAACAAATCTTGTTATTCTGCAGTATCTCAGTTTCAGTGAATGGCAACAGGACATCCACTGATCTCTCCCAGGTTCCCCACCGCCCCTCTTCCCTCTCATACCCAATTCCTCACGGAGTCCTATTGCCACCACATACACCCTGAAGGCAGCTACTACCCTTCACCACCACAATTCTAGTCTTAGCTACATCATCTCTTGCCTGAACTTCTCAAATACTCCCCTCCCCTCCCCGATCCCCCTACTTTCATTTTTGGGGTTATCCAAAGCAACTGTTCTTAAATCTCAACATGCCGGTCTTTACAGCCCCCTGAAGTACTGCAGGGAATATACCGACCGACAGGACCAGACACTGTCCGTCTCAGTACAGCTGGCTTCCTCTTGCTCCCTGCGCTCTGGGCACATCAACTTCGCTCCTTCCTGCCTCAGGACCTATGCACATGTTGTTCTTTTTGGCCTGGGATGATTTTACCTCCGGGCTCAATTTAAAAGTCTCCTTAGAGAAAACTACCACTTCCCACTCCTTAATGTTAATGGACCTTTTAATTCTCCATAGTGACAACAATCAATTTATTACATGTATTCTGGCATGATCATTTAAAAAATATCAAATACTTCTATTAAACTGGAAACTATAAGGATTCAAGGAATGAGGCTATTCTGTCCAGCATTATATCCAGAACGGCTAGCACTGAATGGCACACAGTAGGTACTCAAATATTTGTTGGATTAATACAGTTATATACTGGGAAATCCTTTTCCTCCTGCTTTGAAGCCTGTGAAATAATTTATCACCGTTTAGTTGCTTCACAGGTAGGCAGCATACACCAACAAGAATATTTTAAAACTTCCTGTATAAAAGGTATACATCAAACTCCCCCAGAATTCTGGTTTCTCACCTAACATTTTTATTAACCAGCTTATATGATGCTTCACTGGCCTAATGACATACATTTTAATGACCTAAAGACAAATGCTATTGGAATTTTTTAAGAAACATAGCTATTTTCTATAGTTTTGTTTTTGAGTGTATTTTGTTAGGATCTAATTCTTAAAGTTGATAGGATATGGTATATAAAATAACCTTAACTGGAATATTTAGCTGGCATAATAGAAAAGCAAAGCTCTATGAGTCTGACAAGATTAATTGAGAGGTTACTGTGTGCTGGACACTGCGTGGTGCTGGGAATAAAATTGACAAGGTAAATATGACCCATGCTTTTTTGGACCTTCTATTCTTGCAGAGGAAACAACTCAATTAACTGATTTACATAATTAATTATTTACAATGGACAGGGCCATAAGGAACACAGATTTTCAGAAATCCTAACTGTGGTACATGACCTATTACTACACCACAGGAGTAGAGGGTCAGAGAGATATTAGGAGAAAAGATATTGCAGTTGAGTTCTGGAGGATGACCAGGACTCAGCAAGGTGAAGAATGGGGTTGGGAAATATTTACTCTAGACAGATGGACCAGCATTCAAAAAGCCCTGAGACGGAGAGGTTCTTGATATTGTCAAAGACCTGAGAAAAGGTCTGTATGCGCCTGTGACTGAGAAAGCAAGTGGCTGGTGAGGTAAACAGAGATGGACACAGGGCCTTGGAGGTCATGTTAAAGGTTTTGGTATTTCGGCTACTAGAAACTGCAATAAACTATGGGCCATTCAAGAGCTTTAAGCCAGGGAACCACATGACTGGATGCATGATTTAGAAAGACAGGCCACTGCTTATGAAATTCAGGCAGTAGATAATTCACGCAAGTGACAGGTGTACTAATGGAAAAAAGAGAGAGAGGGTGATATTCAGGACCTAAAGCAGACAAAACTTGATGAGCTGATATAGATCTGACTACTACAGTGGTATACTGATTTCTCATAAACTCAGTGATGAATTTTCCTCGGTTCTACGAAATATTTTCAACCTGGGAATTTTAAGACACACTTCAATCACATGCCCATAGAAAAAACAAAGACATGGTATATGTATTTTTGGCAATATTGAAAACTAGGTTTTAGAATTAATACCCCCCCCCATGAGGTACAATCACATTTCATTGTTCAGCTTCCTCAGGGGTTAGTTAGATCTTGAAAGTTCATTTGTGATGACTGTCCTACTAACACAAGCTTGATGATTTCACTGACTTAGCAGAAGTACATCTGGGAAAGTAGTTCTTGCTACAACTGGGACTGCAAAGCCGCAGGACAGTTACCTGATGATTCTGTTCTACTCCACGCCCCCCGTGCAGATGCAGCTGTCCCAAACCAACCTGAGAACAGACAAACATGATGCAAAAGTCAACGGCAGCATGTGGAGTATGATTACATTAGACCAGGGGTGTCAAACTCATTTTCTCCGGGGGCCACATCAGCCTCACGGGTGCCTTCAAAGGGCCGAATGTAATTTCAAGACTGTATCAATGTAACTGCTCCTTAACTAGGGGCAAGGAGCTCTACATTTGGCCTTTGAAGGCAACAGCGAGGCTTATGTGGCCCCTGGGGAAAAGGAGTTTGACACCCTGCATTACACCAACAAGAAACCACCTGGCCATAAAGACGTTTCTGTTTGTAACTCAAAAAATCAAAGATTTAATCTTAAAACTCCTGAAGATACTACAGTCTTACATGAAGGAGGTGGTGGGGTGGAGGGACTCCAATATCTGGTGACAGAAGATGGTCTGATTTTGGGTGGTGGGCACACAGTGTAATGTGCACCATAAAAATGGGTACTTAAAACCTGTATGATCCTATAAACCAATATCACCCCAGTAACTTAGTAAGACTGAGGAAAACCCTAAAAATGTATGCTTTTATTATAAGGTAGCTTTCTGAAATGGAGAAGAAATAAAAGCATTTTCAGACAAACCAAAACTGAATTAGCCACCAGTGAATCTACTCTGAAGGAAATACTAAAGGATGTTAATTAAGAAGAAGGAAAATTATTCTGGGAAGCTTGAAGATGCAGTAAGATAAAAATGGAAAGGCAAATTTGTAAGTCTAAATTATATGGATTATGTAAAATAATAGTACCTTGCAGGGTTAAAAAATATGTAGAAAATCTGACAATAGGAGAATATAGTCCACCGGACATCACAATCTGTAATGCTACGAACATTTAGACAATATTGGCATAAGACATGGACAAGCATACATACAGGGCGTTATCTGCAAAAGTCCAAATTTGGGGAGAACAAAGTAGATGAATCGTGGGATTTTTCATACAATGAGACAGCATACAGAAATGCAAACGAAGTAATTACAGCTACACGAGAACACGTGGGTTAAGTTCAGAACCATAATGCTGAGCAAAGGAAGCTGATACCAAAAAAAAAAAAAGCTGTAGAATTTTTTGTTTTCACATAAGATTTGAAAGTAGCCAAACCAGTCTATAGTGTCAGAAATCACTGCAGTGGGTTACCTACAGGGGGAGGGAGCAGTTAGTGATGACGAGTTCCTAAGAGGGACCTTCTGGGTGGCCCACACGAGAGGCACCCTTGGTGATCACTCACTGAGATGTGCAATTCACATCTGTGTGCTTTTCTGCATTCATGTCATAGTTCGGTAAGAAAAAAAGAACAAAAAATGATGTACTGTACCACACATGGGTTTCTTTGAGTTTTTCACTTAATGCATTGAAAATAGCTTTCCACATTAAATAGGGTTCTACATTTTTAATGGCTGCATAGAATTCCTTTAACTGGAGTGTCATATTTGAGCTAATTCCCTATCATTGGTCATTTAGATTGTTTTGAATTTTAACTGGTCTCTAACATGAAAGAGAGATGTTTAATTGAAGAACATAATTTTATTAAAATTTCCATGAGCTAAGATTTGGATCTTTCACTGCACTGTAGGATTTGTCTGTGTGTTTTTCTTTACTTAGTACTCCCTTCTGTAAGTTTTAAAATAAATTTTTTTAAAAAAGTATCTATTGCTAACCTCTGCAATGTCTGAATAAGAACTGTAAACTCAATGGGAAAAAAATGCCGAAGTTCTCCTTTTTATTATAATGTTATCAAAATAACCCACAAAACAAAATATGAGATACTTTGATGGATATCATACATTTGTATTAAACATGCCTATTTCTTTCTGTCCTTGACTTTGAGAAAATTATGATTTAAGTTGAGCAAAGGAAACAAACAGTAAATAGTTCTGGGGAGCATCTGAAATTCCAAATGTTCCAGAGACTTTCTGTTTAGAGAATGTGGCAGTTCTTGTCCTTGGTGACTCCACGAAGAGCCTTCATCATCACTGTATTGCGGCTCCACTCAAGTAGCGATTTTCAACTGTGGTGCATACGAGTCACCTGCTGGCTTTCAGGGGCTATGAATGGCCGGCCCCCACACCAGAGGAATCCCAATGGAATGTCCTGAGTGTGGGACTAGTATGTAGCTAATAATAATGTAGCTAATAACTGCTAAGAGCAATGAAAATGTTACTGATAGATGTAAGTGCTTGCCCCCAGAGACTGTAATATACAACGAATTAAGATAGTCCATGAGATGTGTAGACACATACCTGTGCTTGTACATCACCTTTTTCAGCCAGGAACTGGTAATACTGAATCAAATCTTCTTCTAGCATTCCACTGTTCATTCCTGGATTCTCCACCTCATCAGGCAGCCGTATTCTCTGCACTACTGAGCCCCCTGTCAGTGAGATGTCACTAGCAACTGAAACGGGGGAACAAAGTAATAATGTGGATGCAAGTTAGTGGACTGTCCCACAAAGAAGTACGATTCCAGCTGACAGACACTATGTTATAGGAAACTGTTCCTGTAGTCTATAGAGTACAGAACAGTAATCTAAAGTAAATCCAGTTTTTTCTACAAATTATTTAAGGGAGCCCACGGCAAAAATTTTTAAAAAGTACATACTTCTTAAATTAGTATAAAGATGATTCCACTTTAAAGAGCCATTCATGACAGTTCAAGAGTACAATATAAAACAGATGTTTTGGGGTTTTGGGGGGTGGTGTTTTTGGTTTGTAAGGTGAAAGCCAAAAAAAAAGAAAAGAAAAAGAAATACCATGATTGGCAACGAGGCGGTAATGAGTCAGTGCCGATTCACAGCTCTGGAGGACTCCGATGCCGGCCCAGTAGCGGTAACCCTGTAACACAGCTTCAAGTCAGAGGACAGCAGTTTCTCCTGCTTCAGTGGCAAATAAGGCTACCCACTCAAAATGCAACTCTGATGTCTTGTGATCCAAGCACACTACCACCTCATTTATCCCAAGTTTTAGGTCATGAAGTAATTTATGTAGCCACTCCAACAATCCGACTAAAAACTAGGAAGTAAAAAGTAAACTTCCCAGAGCAATCAAGAGAGACGTCATGAACTTTATGTACATAGTGTACATTTCACCTACTAGAAGAGATTACTTAAGCTCTTGCTTAGCATACACTTTATTCTGATTTTAGATACGATTTTAACAAAAAGGGGTTAATCTTCCAAACTAGCAAAGAAGCAACAAGTGAGTAAACTAGGGATTCAAGACACTACTAGAAGCAAAACAGCAATAAATGACTTAAGAATAAGGGGAAAACTACCTAATTATACAGAGCAAAGAACAGAAAGCAGAGCCCTCTGGAGCCATTTAACAGACTGAGAAATAAACTGAGAAACACCAACGATCCTTAGGGCATTCCTGTGTAATATTGAATGTCCCCATCAGTTTATCCTTCGGAACAGGACAAAGTCCAAGTTCCTTGGCATGACGTTCAGCTGTTTACGTGATCCCCGTCTCCCTGCCCTGCTAGTGCACTAGCTGGCACTGTACTCTCCAGCCACACTGAACGAAGTGCCTGTGTTTCCTTGCAAACGCGACCTTCCCTCTTGCTGCTGTCCTTCTGCACACTATATGGCTCCTGCTGCCTGGGAACCCTCCGCGTCTTCCACTCCCTCACCACAATTCCTCTCTCAAGGCCTGATTTAGTTGCTTCTTTCTCTGCAAGAACCTCCTGAAATCCTCCCTTCCAATGCCTGTGTGGGTTAAGTGACTTCCTAGGCAACTCCTTGACATTCACATGCTGTACAATAACCGTCTCCTTATCCCTCCCTTTCTTATTAAAAGCTTATTGTGGGCCAGCACTATATCTTACTCATCTTGGGATCCAAATGACATGTACTCAATAAATAATTTTGGAATAGATAAGCAAAATTAGTTAGGATCCACCCAACTGGCCAGAAAAGCAGATTTTCCTTTTTAAGTCTCGTAGCTCATCAATCACCAAGCCTGTAGACACTTTTCCAGCTTTTTGGACTGGTTTTTCTACTTTCAGTCTCAATTCTGCTCAATCTATCCTTAGTATTCCTGTAAGAATGAATTTACATATTCATCTGAAACACAATAACATGGGTTAGAGGCCATGTGACTCAGTCAAAGTCAGTTTATGAAGTACAGGCAGATTACACACCCCAGCAGTGAAGAATTCAGTGGAGATTCTGTATGTTACTAGTAAGCCATTTAAGTGATCAGTGTTATCAGAAAACACATAAAAGATAGTCTGTAATAAATTTTATTGGACTACTGGTTCCTTATATAGCAAGTTCTTCATCAATTTCAATGTAAAATCTATGACAACCAATCTAAAAAATGACTCTGACCATCACAATTTACAAATAATATAAAGAGACATTTATCAGATAGTTACTTTAAGAGCAATCAGCCAAACTGGTCACTTTCATGAAAAAATTGTGAACTCTACCAATTTTCATCCACATGTAGATATGATTATTATATTTGTTAATAAGAAGTATGTTCAACTGAGTATTTGGTCTTAGTGAATATAAGTAAATCTCAATCATGAAAGTCAGAAAAGTCGTGCTAGTCATTAATCAAAATTCTTCCACTACTCAATGTTACTATCCTTCCAGTTAAGTCTTACTTACCAAAATCATGTGGGCTATTAGGTTGCCCCCAAGAGCTCCAAAAGTGTAATATACAAGGGCCTGTGAATGAACAAAAGATGCTTAACTGAACATGAGCACGTATATTTACTCAATTCAAGTTGTCACATGTAATAAAGTTTTACTAGTATTACCTTTGCCTGACTTGAGTTAACACCAAGCCCAGAGGCATAGAGAAAGCCAAGAGCCTGAAATAAAATAAGAGTAAGAATTCTCCTTTAGTTGAAGTTTATCCAAGACAGACATAGTTTTAAAAACTATAAAAAAATAAAAGAACCTTCACGTGTAAAACAATTTGAATTATTCAAGTATGTACAACTTGGAATTAAAGAGCCTCAGAAATGCACTCAAGGTACTACAAATTACACAATAAAGTATAATGTTAAACAAGTCAAAGTATTCAGTTTGAAGATTAAAGATAATTTAATTATTAACGAGAAAAACAAAGCAGAACACAAATATGGCTTTTACTTGCTCTTGACGAACAGCTGTTATGAGAACAGAACGACTCTTGTATCAGTACATCAATGCAAAGGGACATATACAATGAAAATGGTAAGAGATTGCCAAAACACATTATCCCGGGAGTACAAAGAGGCAGCAAGGGGTGAAGGTGAAGCAGTCAAGGAAGAAAGGTCACTTCACAAAGTTAGAGCATGCAATTTTCTTTAAAAACTCAACCAATCAAACGTATACAGCGTTTTACCCCCTGCCTTCCAAGGATCCTCCTTGATAACATCAAAGTACAAGCTAAAGTTACAAAGGCAGGTGCTATTCTCATCAAAATCCATAAGCTCTCCTGCATTTCCCAGCATCCCTTGTAATTAGGTAGAGCCATGTGCCTGGGGCTGGCTGGAAAAGATGTAGGCTGTTTGTAGACCTGGCTTTGAAAAACATCCCAGGGACACCTCCAGCCCTCTCTCCTTCATGGCTTAGAAGCCCCATGTTCCAGATGGTGTAGTGACATGACAGAAGCAGCTCTTGACCCTGGGTCACCGTTTGGAAGAGAGGGATGCAGGCAGGAGAGCTGCACAGAACCCGGCAAAAGAACAGATAACTTGTGTGATTCAGACACTGTGGTCTGGGAGCTCTGTTTCATTAGCTACAATTAATTACCATGGAGAGTGTTTTGCGATGAATAAAGCACTACGGCATTGCAAGGCTCTATTACTAGAGAAAAAAGATGCCTTTAAAAAACAAGTATTAAACTATTCTTCTGGCACGATGTTCCTGAAAATAAACATATATGTGAATGTTACATAAACTGATTTATTCAAAGAGAAAAATGCTTTGAAAAGAAAGGGAGCCATTAAGATATAAGCTGTCTATAAACTAAAACCAAGAACACTTAAGAGTTGTGGTCTAGTCAGATATTCAGTCCTATAGGAAACAAAGGTTACAATTCCTGTAAATGTTGAAATAGTCTGAGAACAGACTTCTAACTATCACTAGAAATTTTATCTTTAAGCAAATTCAAGACCTTAAATAAACCTGAATGATTAAAGGCACTTTATTTATTTTTAATTAAAAAATTTCAAAACTATTTATTTTTAAAGAGAGGGGAAGGGAGGGAGAAAGAAAGGGGGAAACATTGATGTGAGCGAGAAAACACTGATCGGCTGCCTCTCATATGTGCCCTGGCTGGGGACTGAACCCACAGCCCAGGCGTGTGCCCTGACCAGGAATCAAATTGGCAACCCTTCACTGTGTGGGATAACGTCCAACCCGCTGAGCTATACCAGTCAGGGTGGAAGGCATTTTAAATAAATGTTGCCCCCTAAATCCAGGGGCCAACCTTACCACTACTAACGGGGAATCAAAGAGACATTATATATCAAATGGTGTGATGGAATGTGGAATACAGAAAATCCCTATAAAGCAGTCTAGCCAAAAATATTTTATTTGAGTTCATTAGCCTCTGGCTGTGACACCAGTTTATAGGAAATACAGATGACAGAAAGGCAAACTAAAGGACATGAAGTAGTAAGCAGATAATCTGAGCTAGGACATTCTGTAGAAAAATTGGGCCATCTCTAATGCAGAAGAAAAAAAAAGGAGGTGGGTATGCTAGAGGTAACAACCAAATATAAGGTATAGTCCTGAACTGGGTACTGGTTTGGACTCAACAGGTATGAAGGAAGGTTTTGCTCAATACCATCTGAATATGGTATGGGTATTACATGCTGTAAAAAACTACTGAAATGGAAAGGTGAGGGCTGATGCCTGAAAAGAGCATGTTATGGCACAGCAGACAGTGACCTTTTACTTTAATAAAGAACTTGTATGTATCTAGACACAAAGAGAAAGGTCTAGAACAGTTTGCATGCACTAACATATCACCGATGCTCACATCTAGTTGGTACATATGTAATGTTCACTTTCTTAGCATTTTCAGTTTGTATTTCTACTTTCTTATAATGAACACATACTGCTTTTGTAGTATATTTTAAAAAAAAACACCAAGATTAATAAGAACTAGAGCATCTGTACTTTGGAAGGAAACGCAATGGTGAACAGTTGAAATAAAAAGCCAATTACCTTCATGTTTCATTTTCTAGAGATCTAACATGGAAAACTACAGACATAACTGTGGCAAGATGCATAGCAAAATGCCTTAAGTGGACACAAATGTTTTCAGACAAAGGAAGATCACCTAAGAAGACTGGTAAAATAATCTGCCACAAAATTAATATTTACAGATATTGTACCTGCCATTATTTGTCAAAAGAAGTCAGGGCATAAAGAACAAACTGTTGTTGAAATAAACAAGTGCTGTGTGCAAAGAGATTCTGCAATGACAGTCCACTCACAGTCTGTCCCTTGGGAGAGCCTTCCTCAGTCAACCTCTCAAACATCTCTTTCGCCGCCTGGACGTTCTGGGTGAGGTAGTCACCAAATAAAAGAGCATATGACACTCTCTCCAGGGCCTTGGTATGGTTCATGCTTGCTGCCTTCTGAAGATACCGATATGCTCTTTAAATGTAAACAATTAAAAAACACATTAGCAATATTTTGGAGCTTTTACTAATTTTTGCAAAGATCTATGGAAAGGCAACACAATTTCCTTAACTATAGTCATGTTACTTGTATACACAGAAAACATTCTGGCTACTCCGTTTTTACATAAGGTACAAGTTTTGTCTTCCTAATACGTTGGAAGAGTCTAATTACACTAGCAGTAATTCTCAAAACTTTTATTAAAAACTTTAGCTACATTTGCAACCAGAGAGATGTAATAATATGGTATCCAGTAAATAATCCAACGACAATCACTGCAATTTTCTTTTTAAATCTTTGCACAGACTATAACAAAAATCAGTTGAAATTAAAGGGACATGAAATATTAGAACACAGTCACTTGTTCTAAGTTTTTTTCCAAGTGGAAATTCATAAATTCTAGTCTTTGTCTGCAAGAAAATCACAAAGCAAAAAACAAAAAAAATGAAACAGCAGACAATTCCTTGTGTTTATATCATTTTCACTTCTGAATAGCGTATGTATTCTTGGTTCTTAGAAACTACAACTTGAGTCAGTTCTTTCTATTTTGCTCATTGTATACTCTTAATGATCAGTATTTTTAACCTTTTTATTGCAGCAAGCTAAAATCTGATCAAAACAATGCCACTGAGGCCCATATATGATATTCAATTTCTTGTAATGCAACTTAAGAAATTCTGTGTTTGGCAAACCACCTTAAAAAAGGACTCAGCTATTTATCTCAGTAATGGCCTATCTTAGGGGAGGCGTGGCGTTGACAGTGCTACCTACTCTCTTTTCTGGCTTTTCTTATTGCTTCCATTGAGGATTTTCATCCCAGTCTGGTACATCATTTCTGCTTCTTGCATTTGCCGTCTTTTTGTAGCCTCTTCTTCAGCTAGAAACAAAATGCCAGATGCACTTAAATGGACTTTAATCGATTCTACACCAATTATTTATCAAACATTGGCATGTATTCTGCCTTCTGGGTAGTCATACAAACACAATTAATGATCTTTTACTCTTGACGAATCTGACCCCAAAGACACACAATTAAAGTGTTTACCTGACAGAAGACTTTAGTAATTCTAAAACTTTTACTATAATTCAACTAAAATTTCAGTAGTAGCTTATGATTAAATGCCAAAGTCAGTGAAAATCAGGACAGAAGGATATTAAAAAACAGTAGTCAGAAAAATACCATTTTAGTCAAAGGGCACTATAGCCTCACCTGAAATTCTGTATATCTTTATAATGAGAAAGTATTTGGTTAATTCTATAATAAAAAATTTGTTACAATTTGATTTCTATTAAATATAAATTTTTTTAAATAATTAATTTTATTTAGTTATTTTTCAAGTACAGTTTTTTGTCTATTTTTCCCATCCCAGCCTCCCCCGCCCCTTGCTCCCCACCTCCCTCCCATTTCCACCCCCCTTAGTTCTTAGTTCTCGTCCCTGTGTCCTTCCTATTTGTTCCTCCAAATCCCTCCCCCTTTTTCCCCTTAACTTCCCTTCCTTCTCCCCTCTGGTCACTATCCCCTTGTTCTCTATTTCAGTGTCTTTGTTTTTTTTTTTTCCTGCTTGCTTGTTTGTTTTGTTGTTTAGCTTCCTGTTAAAGGTGAGATCATATGGTATTTGTCTTTCAGCACCTGGCCTATTAAATATAAATATTGATTAATGTTCAAATTCTCTATTTTCTCCTATGCATTGACACAACACTGAAAAATCACAGAATTGTTATAGATTTCCCAAAACTATTTGGCTACTGTAATACAGTATTGTGTCAGAAATCCAGAATTCATTAAGACACATCTGAATATTTCATTAGGATCAATATTCACAGAAACAGAAGTGAGTTCTTGTAGATAAAAAAATCTGAATGCATTACTGCATTAGGTACTGAAATACCTAATCGTACTAGCCTACAGCCGAGGATGGGCTCCATTTGGTATTACCTTCTCAGAAAGCTTAATTATGTATCTGAGCCATTATTTTGAAAATGTTATTTGGAATCAAAAGAGAGTCAAGATTTTCTGTTTTTTATTAGTTACAAAGCTTTTCCTGAAAAAAAAAATCTTTAAAGGTCAGTCCCTTTATATCAACACTAACAGGCAGGAAGGTTAAACACACATAATTTGTCAAGTGTTACCTGAGCACAGCACATCTTATTCAAAGTGTTTTTCAAAAGCTATTTTTCTTCTAACCACTATTAACCTTGTCCATAGTGTTGTTTCCTTTACTGTCAAAAAAATGTTTTACATTCATTAATTTAGCAGGCTGCCTAAGGGTTTGCAGGACAACTTGTGCATGCCAGCGCAAAACCATCTCTAAATAAGACACAGTGTGACAAGCTGCCCGAGCAACAGGCTGGAATTCAGTAGGTACACCGCAAGCTTCCTGTGCCAAAGCCCATTTTTAAGGCTATAACCACGTTATCAACACTGACCAATTCTGACAAGGATGGAAAAAAGATGGCCACAGAAAGGCCTTAAAGACGTTGTCCGAGACATCAAGCAACGTGGACATGCCTCCTACAGATCAATACTCACTTTCACAAAAGCCCCACTTTTCATCTGCCTTGTAGTCATAGGTCGTAGCACACCACAGTCTGCCGTCTTCCCTCCCGTCCGATGTACACTCATCATATTCCTTATCCAGGAAGAGGAAAGGGAAGTGGCAGGGCTCCCCATGTGCTGTGCCTTCGATGGCAGTCAAAGCTGGGAAGACCAGAAAAAAAAATGTAAACATGAACAGCACCTGCGGTATCCATGGATTTAACACTGCCAATTTCACCTACTAGAATTTAAAGACTAGGAAACATAAAAAGGCCAGCACCAGTTCTGCTTAGGGATGACTTGAAGACGAGTCAACTTAGCACGGCTAAGTGATTAGCCAGTTCTATATCTAGCTTAGAATTTCTGATAGTATTGAGATCTAATAACCTTAGAATGCTGTCTACTGTACAACTAATTGGTGAGCAAAAAATAAGGCAAATGCAATGAAATCAATTCCAAAGATCAGCACAACTCTCCTATTTTTTAAGTTACTTTATTGTTGTTCAATTACAGTTGTCTGCATTTTCCTCTCACCACGCCCCGGACCTACTTTCTCTCTGCATGCTGTAAGTCAATCGTCAGTAATACACACAGGGGAGACCCGCCCCCCCGCCGGCAATGTTAATCCCTCCCATAGTCCTCTGTGACCCCGAAGCATTTTACTAGAGCACTATCACACGTACTGAGGTTTTCTTTACCATATCCTAGCTCCCACTAGACTTTGAGCTTATTTTGGGTGGAGACCATACCTCCAATTGGTTCTACAAGTTCTTTTTGAGTATATCCTAGGTGCTGGGAATGAGGTGGAACAGATTTCTGTTGTACAGAACTTACGACCTTGCAATCACACATTAAACAAAAGTGTGAGTGATGCTATGAAACAGGAAGTTTCTCCTATCAGGAACTGAAGTTTACACTGAACCTCACAGATGTGTAGGAGCAGGGAGTGGCTGAAAGACGGTGGTTGAGGAGCAGCAGTGCAGACAGAGGAAACAGGTGTGTTAATAATTAAAAGAACGAGGACTTCTGCCAAGATGGAGGCGAAGGTGAAAATACTTTGCTTCCTCGCACAACAAAATCTAAAAACAACAAAGTTTTAACAACAATAAACACAACCAAACCACAGAAAAATCAAACAATATAAAGTCCAAAACCAATGAAACACTCAGCTAAACCAGTGAGAGGGGGGAAGCCAGCAGCAGAGCGGGTCGCAAAAAAGATCCCCCTGACCCGGGCTGCACGCAGGCAGCCAAGGGCGCGGATACCAGGTGCGGGGTAGCTATGGGCGGACCCAGAGAAGGTACAGTGTGGCTGGCTGTCTGCAGTCACGCATTTGTGTGCAGATAAACCAGTGAAGAGACGTGCATTGAGACAGACCGTGCAGGCCCCGGCCCAGGGCGGCGAGCTCGCACATTTGTGTTCAGATAAACAGGCGGGGTGAGCCGTGACGTGGACCGGGCGAGCGGAGAGGACCGCCATTGTCCCTCTCTGACCCGCCCCCACATACAGCATCACAAACCAGCGACCTGGGTGGCCCCGCCCTGGTGAACAACTAAGGCTCCGCTCCTCATACGTAACAGGCATGAACAGATCAAAACATGGCTCAAGAACAACTCAGAGCCCCAGAGACCATAAATCTAAGCAATGAAGAAATAGCCAAACTTTCAGATGCACAGTTCAAAACACTGGTGATCAGGATGCTCACAGAACTGGTTGATTTTAGTCACAAATTAGAGGAACACATGAAGGCTAAACTAATTGAAATGAAGGGAAATGCACAGGAAACCAATAGTAATGGAAAGGAAACTGGGACTCAAATCAAGGCAGCAGACCAGAAGGAAGGAAAAATGACCAAACAGAAAAATATAAAGAAACAAGAATTCAAAAAAAATGAGGAGAGGCTTAGGAACCTTCTGGACATCTTTAAACACTCCAACATCTGAATTATAAGAGTACCAGAAGGGGAAGAGGAACAGCAACAAGTGGAAAACTTATTTGAACAAATAATAAAGGAGAACTTCCCAATTCTGGTAAAGGAAATAGACTTCCAGGAAATCCAGGAAGCTCAGAGAATCCCAAAGAAGTTGGACCCAAGAAGGAACACACCAAGGCACATCATCATTACATTAGCCAAGATTAAAATGAAGGAGAGAATCCTAGAAGCAGCAAGAGATAAGGGGACAGTCACCTACAAAGGAGTCCCCATCAGACTGTCAGCAGATTTCTCAAAAGAGACCTTATAGGCAAGAAGGGGCTAGAAAGAGGTATTCCAAGTCATGAAATCCAAAGACCTACAACCAAGATTGCTCTATCCAGCAAAACTTTCATTTAGAATGGAAGGACAGATAAAGTGCTTCTCAGATAAGGTCAAATTCAAGGAGTTCATCATCACCAAGCCCTTGTTATATGAAATGTTAAAGGGACTTACCTAAGAAAAAGAAGATAAAAAAACATGAACAGTGAAAGGTCAGCAAACTCACAGTTATTAACAACCACACCTAAAACAAAAGCAAATTAAGAGGACAGCTACACCAGGAGTGAAGCATAGAAATGAAGATCTCATGGAGGGTTAGCAACAGGGGAGTGGGAGAAGGAGAAGGGGGGAGAAGGTACAGAAAATAAGTAGCATAGACAGCAGATAGAAAATAGATAGGGGGAGGGCAAGAATAGTAGGGGAAATATAGAATCTAAAGAACTTGAGACACGTGTTCATGAACTAAAGGGGGGAATGGTGGGGGAGGGGAGTGCAGGGTGGAGGGGAATGAAGGGGGGAAATAGAACAAATGTAATGGCATAATCAATAAAATAAAAAAACATATTAAAAATAAAATAAAAAGAATCAAAAGAAAATAAGCATAGTACATTATACAAAATCTTACAAGTCCAGGAGGTTGGAACATAGCAGTGTGAGTGCCAAAGTGGGTTAAGAGAAGAGGCTACAAAAGCATGAAGGAACCAGTCTACGGGGTCCTGACTAATCTTATTAAAGAGTTTGGACTTTAGCCCTGGCTGGTGTAGCTCAGTGGATTGAGCGTGGGCCTAAGAACCAAAGAGTTGCTGGTTCAATTCCCAGGCAGGGCACATGCCTGGGTTGTAGGCCCCAGTAGGGGGTCCATGAGAGGCAACCACACATTGATGTTTCTCTCCCTCCCTTTCCTTCTATCTAAAAATAAATAAGATCTTTAAAAAAAAGTTTGGACTTTATCCTGAGAACAGTGGAACTCATTTAAGAGTTTTAAGTTAGAATGACATGCTCACACTTCCATTTTATTAAGAGTGGTCAACAGAATGAAGGCTGGGTGCAAAGTAACCACGCTGAGGATTGTGACAGCAGTCTAATCAAAAGGTAATGCAGCCTGGAGAGATCATGGAATGAGAGTGGAAACACTGAACTGATGCTAAGGAAGTGGATGTGGTACTATTTACTGCCTGCCTGTATGTTCAGATGAGAGGAGAGAGGAGGCAATGATGGCTCCCAGGTACTAGGCTTCAGGGAGTGAGTGAAAGGTTGTCCTTACTAAGACAGAAGGTTCCCACCACCCTACCTGGTAGAAGTGATTCACTGTACCTAACACTGTTGGTAAAAACAACATAGTTTATGCGCAACATGTTTTCCTCCTGGGAGTCTGTAATTTCAGTACATGCTAGACAGAGAGTGATCACATGATTGCTCTCTATTAAAAACTCCAAGCACTGGGTCTCTAATGAGCATCCCTGGAAGATAACACTTCACAAATGTCGACACATGTGCTAAGGATTTAAGTGTGTCCTATGTAACTGTCCTTGGAAACTTGCACCTGGCTTTCTTTGGACTTCGCCCCATGTTGATTTTGCCTTGTATCCTTTCTCTATAAAAAAAAATCACAGCTGTGAGTTATGAGTATATACTGAGAACTCCCAGCAAATCATCAAACCTGGGGATGATCTTGGGACCCCTAACATCAGCTGGCATCAGACATGGCATTTGCTAGAATGACCTTGACTCACTGAAATACGGTATAAGCACTGTTTGAGAAAGGAAGGATATGATGAACCTCTGGTGCCCCAGGGGTTACTGTCACCCCCCATATGCTGTAGCTGAGCTGCCATCTGTCCTGAGAGGTAAAACTACCTGTGGAATGAAAACGACAGATTCAACTCCAGGAGAGTGGGCTCGCTGGATTCCCCCCTTTGCTTTGGGCCATGCTGGCTAAAGGGATGATGCTTTTGGGTGTTGTTCTCTCCTCCAGATGGGAGGACAAAGGACACCAAATTCCCAAAGGTGAATGGATCAAAATGTCAAAACTCTGAACTGCTCTTTCCTCCAAATAGGGTGAGGGGTAGTGGTGAGGGGAAGGGAGCCCAATCAGGTTCCAGGGCTGGAGCAAGATTTTAGATAAACCAGAAAGAGAGGGAGGAGGTAACCTGCCAGCAGTTTATTCTGGCCCAGCTGCTGCTGCAGTGGTCGCCCCCACTTCTCTTCCTCCTCTGCATCCCAGCCTGACCTTCCCTGGCAACTGGGAAATTAACACAGCAAATGCTGAAGTTACTGTGAGGAGCTTAAGTAACTTTGAAATGGGGGGGGGGGGGATATTTTTTTAGTGGCTCTCTATTTTGTGGCTATCACATCTGAGTGTATGGTAAAAACTGATACAAAACATTAAATGCTTGTAACTCAATGTATGCCAGAGAAATTATCCTGATCGGGGGAAGCTGCACAGAAGAGATGTGTCAGGAGGACACAACTTCCATTTTTTTGCTGCTGGTGGGCAAGCTGGAATTCGAACTGTCCAAATATTGGAAAAAGAACAAATTTCTGTATTTGATGAGTTTTGCTATTGAGAAGAAGCCTAGTTTGCCACCCCAAAATATGCCGCTTTGAGATTTGGTTATTTTAAAGAAACCAAGGACTCAGGAAGAGCATTTTACCTCCCACCTCCAACCACTACCTGCCTAAAGAAATTCAGATGAAAAGCCCAGCTGCTCCAGGAGGGGGGATCACCTTAGCATAACATGAACTCTCACAGGAACTTGGCGTGGCAGACAGGGAGGAACCTGGCAAAGGCTGGTGCACTCCCCTTTGTGTCCCATTGTTTCTGGGTGGCCCTGCAAGAAATTTGTTCACCAAATATTTGCTCCTTCCCACCTACCCGTGACTTGCCCATCTTCCCTTTGAAGTCCAA